CGTGGAAAACTCTTCGATGTGAAGGATAAAAGCCACAGGACCGTTTAAGGAGTCCACCCTATCTTCTCTTACTGATAATTGAGGATAAAATGAACCAAAATTTGTCTACTAAAGTTTTACACACCCACCAACAACAACAAACAACAAGAGATCAAAATTAGAGAGCAAAAGAGTGAACTTCACCCAAAAAGACAGCAGTTTTGTCCATAGACGATTTTGACTAAAATAAAACTCAAAACGACGATCCAACCGTTCAAAATGAAGCCTTTGATGTCAAGAATAAGCTGTAAAATTTTGAGCCCGATCCAACGGTAAAACTCTAGTAACAGACAGTTTTGTAAAGATTTTCCACAAAACTCCGAAGTTGGATGTTGTTTACAAGAACCCTCTCTTTCTCTCTCTCTCTCTTTTGTGTGTATGAAATACTCCCTCCGTTTTTAAATACTTGCTTCATTTCTCCATGTGCGGAGTTTTAGGAGAAATTGAATAAAGTGATAAAATATAGAGGTTGTGAGGTTGGTGGAAGAATTAAAAAAAGTAAAAGGCAAAAGTAGTGGAGAGAATTGGAAGAGAGATAATACATGTTGGGTCCACTAGGTGGGAGAAATTAATTAAAAATTGTAAGAGCTTTTCAAAAAAGAAAATGAAGCAAGTATTTAAAAACGGTCGCAAATAGAAAGTGGAGCAAGTATTTAAAAAACGGGGAGAGTATTCGCTACTTGCTGCTTACTTGTTCACTTGTTGAACACAAGATATCTCATCTAAAGCTTTCAAGAGTAGCCATAAAAGTCATCCCAAATATGGACCAAAAAATAAGACTTAACAAGTCCGTGAAAAGAGCCCATAATACATGAGTCCAAAAAACAATATATGGATATTGCAAATTGGGCTGGAACCACAACACTATTTTACACGCCTACAAACTATTAAGAAAAAAATAGTTATTATTTTATAAAAGATGTATTTACATAATCCAGCACTTGATTATAGGATAGTTTTGTAACGGCTATTGTAGCCATTATAAAAAACAAAATCTACACTATTATGTAAATAAGGCCATTAATTTAAGTTGACAAAGAAAATTTCTTTAACTAAACTACTACGAGTCTACGACAGCTTCCAATATGAATAACCACAATCCACTAGAAAAATTATGCACCATTGTCAACTAAAAGAAAGATATTGCAATTTAATAACTTTCCGATGCTAAGGATTCCGACGAATTTGCATTTATTGTTGAAACTTGCTGCCAAAAATGAGCAGCAGAAACTTAATTCATAAGATTTATGGGGAGAATTTGATAGAAGAGTGGGGTGCAGAGAGGAGAGAGAATCACATAAAAAGAAATCAAATTAGTGCAAGAATGAATTTGATCCTATCCAATCATCCATGTACTTCGTATTAAATTATCCAATGTATAAAATCATATTTCTTTTTGAAGATTAGTTGATAGTTTGTTATATATAGTTCAATCATATCCATGTTTTAATTGTTCCTCTATAGTTATTTAATGGAGATTAGGATGAATTTAAATACTTAGAAGATCATCAATGGCAGTGACAACTGACAACTGACACAAGTACGTAGTGTTTTTCGGTTTTTTTTTTCTTTTCAAAATAAATTAGTTTTTAAAACATTCATATTTTAGAAGTCAAATATTGAATGGATAAGATTAATTATTAATATTTAAGCGGTTGAGATTGAAATTATTTATAATGGCCACATTTTTTATGCAGTCATTGAATAACCTTCCTTGATTATATTAATTATTTTATATTAATTAAGGAAAATGTTATATATAACCCTCAGGGCTACATATAAGCATTAAATTTACACTTGAAAATCGTAAGAAATTAATAATTCATCAAAATATAAACACTAATAACACTGATTTGCGCGTGTTTTTGTCATGAATTTCTAATTTTATACAATTTTCAAAACTATATTTAACCCTTAAATATAACCCTTATAGCTACATATAACATTACCCATTAATTAATAAGAATTCAATAATCTTCTTGTATTTAGAAGTTTAAACAAAAGATACATTGGTGAAAGTATATTCACACACTCTGGAAGTTAAAAATGGAGTGTCAGTGCACATAAGTTAAAAATGGAGTGTCGTGCGCATAAGGCGGTTTGATCATGGAAGTATTAAAGTGTTGGAAACTTTATCAAAAACCACCAACTAAAAAAGCTTTTTGTTTTTTTTATTATTATTTTTTAGAAGAACCACCCACAATTAAATAAAATGTTGTAAAAACCACCCAAGCTAAAAAAATGTTATAAAAAGCCACCCATTGTCAGAAATAGGTTATTGACCGCCCTCCCCTTGCATTGACCATCCTCCCCATCCTCTCGAAAACCCTAGAATTCACCGGAAAGTTCGGCTGCCCCTCCCCCCTTTGGTGAATTCTAGGGGTTTTCGAGGGGATGGGAAGAGTTGTAAACACCAGGGGAGGGCGGTTGACACCGGTAAATATGGTCAATAGCCTAATTCCGACAGTGGGTGGCTTTTTACAACATTTTTTTTAGTTTGGGTGGTTTTGTACGATATTTTTTTTATTGTGGGTGGTTTTTCATAAAAAAATTTGTTTTTAGTGGGTGGTTTTTGACAAAATTTCCTTAAGTTTTTTATATTAATATCCTACACTCAAATGGGTTATGAGGTCGGGTTCATCAAGACTAGTTTGGGTTTGAATCAAAAGTTGGGTCAATTTCGGCAATCAGGTCTGTTTCTGAATTTTGATATGTCCGTTATGTGTTAAAGTTTGTTAAGGATAAAAATGGTCATTTAATCGGACCATGTAGGATGCGACGATTGAGACTAATCTATCAAACCACCAGCCAGGGGCACGTTCACGGGTGGATCAAAAATACGTAGTAATGAAATATGGAATACAAATTAGCTACAGAAACTTGACAAGGTGTTCCAACGAAGCTAGTGGCCTGGAGTACAACCCGTGCCCATGCCAATCATGTCCACTCATGAATTCTATTCAAGTTATGTTATAAATCAGCCCAAATACTAAATCAACCAAGAAAGGAGATGAGTTTCACAAGTGTATTGATCAACAAGGAAATTAATGAACACTCACCCTAGACAATCTATTATCTTTTGATTCACTTCTCAAAGTGATTACAGAAAATGAATGAATACACTTATCAAATTAAAATATTTTAGCTTTGGGATTAAAATATTAAAAAGGGTTAGATACTACGATTATGTAGTATACGCAATAATTATAGGATCACGGAGTATCATCTAATCTCTTCCTCAGATGCTTGCTATGAAGCTGTGTTACATGTTACAAGTTACAGCTCTTATAAGTATAAGGGTCTGTTTATATTTACTGAATCGAGCTTAACTAAACTAAACTAAACTAGACTGATTGGAGCTAAACTGAACTGAATTGAATATTTTATGAGAGAAGAAAATTAGGAGCTGAATTAAAGTGAAATGATGGGAACTAAATTAATCTGAACTGATTTAAGGTGAAGTGAACGGACCCTAAGATATTGAGAAAGTATTATGGAGTATATTTGTAATTCGAAATTTATAATACTGCTTAATAATTGATCATAATAATGAATAATGATAATAACAATAACATGAAAACATAATAATACATGGAAAAAAATATATACTACTGTTGAAATTGTTTCTATGGAGGCGGATGCACGATGCTCCGTGCATCCGTTTTCTCTTTAAAAATGCGGAATGAACATTCCGTTGTTCAGTAAAGAACATACATTTGTTTTGTAAAGAACATATAGCTTTTTCATAAAGAACATCACATATAGCTGTATTGTAATGAACATATAGTTGTTTTATAAAGAACATATAACTATTTTGTAAAAAAAAATCCAACTTCATGTTCTTTATATAAATCTAAAGAACATCGTAATATTAATTGAAAACATGATAATTAGAGGTGATCAACTTCGGCCCGACCCGACCCGGCACAGCCCGATCCAGCCCGAAAATAGGGCAGGTTTAGACAAGCCTAGAAATGCATTTTTAGTTAAAAAATCGAAACTCGGCCCGAAAAAAAAGCCGAAAATCCAAATTAGAGCTGTATTGTAATGAACATATAGTTGTTTTATAAAGAACATATACCTATTTTGTAAAAAAAACATCCAACTTCACGTTCTTTATATATATCTAAAGAACATTCGTAATATTAATTAAAAACATGATAATTAGAGGTGATCAACTTCGGCCCGACCCGATCCGGCCCAACCCGATCCAACCCGAAAATATGGCGGGTTTAGACAAGCCTAAAAATGCATTTTTAGTTAACAAAATCCAATCTCGGCCCGAAAAAAAGCCGAAAAGCCCACTACATTTTCCGGGGTTTTTGGACACGAGATATTATGTTATGGCCCAGCCCGACCCGATTTTTTTATCACCTTTAATGATATTATAATGTAATGAACATTATTTTTATTCAACCACCATAATCTAAATATAAAATTCAAAGAACATTTCAAAATAAACAATTAACATATGTCACAAATAAAAGTACATTATTATGACAATCAAAGAACATGAAGATAAAGAACATTATTTAACTACACGTTATTTTCTTTACAATTTTATAACATGTTCTTTGCACTTTAACGGAATGTTCATTACATTTCTATACAATGTTCTTTACAATTCTATAATATGTTTTTTTCAGTTTAACTAAATGTTCTTTATATTTCTATGCAATGTTCTTTCCGCTTTTTTTTTTTTTAAGAGATGCACCATGTGGATCGTGCATCCGCCTGCACGAACCATGCATACTACTACTGTTACGACGGCATATAAGAAGTTAAAAATGAAAAGAATGGATTATAAATAAACATTTATACATCAATTTACTCGTAAATTGTCGATAAAATTCTCCACTTAATACTAAAAAAAAAGAAAATATATTTGATACTTATATGCGGCAAGGGCTACATATAACTTTACCCATAATATATGGGTAATATATTATAAACATAAATCATAATCAAGACATCATAAATTCAATAGTTAGAGATAAGAAAATATAATCAAGAAATACAGAGAAATGTCTGGAAACATAGAATAAATAAAGGTCTCCTCCATAATCAATTCCAATTCCTCACCACCACAAAACCAAAAAAAATTAAAAATGTGGGTCAACAAATGTAAAACAGAATAATAGTAATGTTTAACCAAACAAAGTACTTTCCAAATATGCCACTACTGCTATGCAAAATTAAGCTCGTCTTTAAACCCCTTAAAAACTTGATAAAAATGCTCCTAACGCTGCTAGACCAACAACAGTCAGTTGTGCTGAGATGCCTGTAGCAGAGGATGCACCATTTGGGCTGCTTGGTGACATTGCAGGTGATGATACTGTGCTGCCTCCCGGACCCATTGCTGCTGCTGGAGCCATCGAAGCGCCTGATGGAGCACCCGCCGGAGAAACCATACCAGCTACAAGTACAAAAATGACAAGGATCACAGTTAGTTCAATAGCAAAGGATCACAAATAATGTTACAGGTTAATAACAGAGGATCATTGATACCAATCAAGTAATTCAGGAAATTCAATTAGTCATTTATAGCTGTTGAATTAGATAAACAACACTGATTGATCCCTAAATTATGCAATAATAATGTAACAATTATAATCAATTTGAGAACAAGTAAATGAGTACGTAAAATATTGAAAAAAACTATGTAAACACAAATTAATTAATTATTCTAAAATCCTATAAACAAGGAAAATATTCCTTAACAAATTAAAAAATTAGAAATCCCACAAACATTCTAAAGATCCAAACAAAAATACTACATACTTCAATTTCGATATTCAAATCGTCGAGAACACAAAATAAAATTGTTTTTCCAGAAAAAATAAAATTGCCCCTAAAACCAGGTTTAAAAATCCACTTTTTTAAAGTCCCTAAAAAAAACCACTTTTGTAAAGCCAAAAAAAAAACAGCATGCTGAAATTTCAAGCTAAAAGGAACCCTTTTTTTTTCTATTTATCTTATTTTTATAATCTGTAAAATTAAAGAATTTTACTCCTAACACAAATTTCCAAAAAATTCACATTTCCAAAAATTAAAATACGTATTTCGTATAATTAAAGCATACCATTGTTTTATTCATATACAAAAATCAAGAGTAATTTAAGTATTTCGTATAAAACAAAAACAAACGACAGAAAAAAGCGACGGAAAGCAATACAACAGAAGCGTCGGAAGTAGATAAATACCTGGAGAAGGAGCGCCAGTTGGAGATATATCCACTGCAAAAACAAATTTATTAAAAAAAGAAAAACAGATTATTAAAATCGGCATATTTTTTGTTAAAAAAAAAAAAAAAAAAAAAGTTAAAATCAAAAACAAACTTACAGCCACATTTGGCAGCAGAAGGAGCATGAACATGACAAGCATCAGGAAGACCAACAGCTTTAGTAACATTCAAAACGACACCGAATTGAGCACTACTCTTAAACCCTTCACAAAGACACTCAGCATTCGTTTTAAGCACAGATTTCAACCCTGAACAACAGTTTCCTTCTGGTTTATTCACTGCACTTCCATTCGTTACGTACGAAAGACAATCCGACATGCTCAGCACTACGCTCGTGCAGTCCACCGGTGCGGGCGATGAGCCCTTTGACTCCACCGTTGCAGCCATTGCGATAGCAACTAACATTAGGATCACGTACTTCATAATAGTTGCTGCCATTGGAAGAGATGATAATAAGATTTCACAAATGAGATGAATGAAAAAAAAGAGAAGGGAAGTTTCACAAGTTGGTTGTGTTTGTGTTGGTGTGGTGGAGTGATGAGAGGAGAGTGAAGGTTAAAATAGGGAGGGGGAAAAAGGAGGGACACGTGGCGGGCATCGAGGGAGTATAGGGATGAGGGAATGTTATGATGAGAAGCATTTGGGGTTTTGAAAAAATGTGAAAAGGGGATTTTTGAGGGGGATGATACAGTGGGGTGGCTGTGTGGGAAGGTTTGGTAAGGTCGAATAGGAGGATGACACGTGTGAAGGTCAGGGGTTTTGATGGGTGAGTCAATGAGGGTGGACTAGGATGGTTGAAATGGGTAAAAAGGGTAACTGTTGGTTTTAGTTTTTACTGTTTTTACTGAAAGGTGAGTTTGTTTACCAAATGAAGGGTAATTAAAATTGATTGACTCTGACTTGTATGTAGGGTAAATAAAGTAGAAGATGATGGGAGATTATGATTCCATATTTGAAACTAGGAATGGAAAGGTTGTTATTCTCTTTTTATGATGTTCAATAATGTTGGTTTACTCATAGGTGTTTTAAGATTGTATGGAAAATGATTTGATGCGAACATATTTCGGGCTTGATGTGTGTGCAACAATGCTATAATTTTCATTTTTCATTGTATAATGTGTTTATGCGAAACAAATTTTATGTTATCTAATTTAACATGTATTGATTTTTTATTTTTTTTTTTTTTTTTTTTGAAAAAAGTTCTAAAGGACACTGAATTTCATTAATATAAGTCATACGACTGCTACAATTGACAATGAACGATAATGAAAATGAATTTAACAAAATCAAACAAGAATTAATCGGGGAAGGGCTAAGAATCCAAATACATAAATATAACAATTCGGCATATTCTCGATTCGTTGTCTCATACAACTTTGAGTGGATTCTTTGTCGCTTCGCAATTTTGTGAGAAAGTAAATTCTTGTGCTGATTCCGTAACCCGAATCCGAGCCACAATCAATAGTAGCCCCACACAACCGGAGACCAAATTAAGCACAAATAAAACTTTGTCTTTCGAAGGAGTACGAAAAACCTTGTCTTTCGAAGGAGAGAAACCCTTTCTTTCGAGGGAGACATTATTGTAACCTAAAACAAAAGGCTTAAAAGTAAATCAAGATTGAGGCTTTTCACCGGTAAAATCCAATGGAAGCCCCTTTAAAATTGACAATGGAGACTAGGTTTAGGAGAGAGAAGAGAGAAAAGGAGGCTAGGGTTTTTTCGTTAACATATATTGATTTTTATTGTGGTAAGCCCCGTCACTAACAATATGGTGATTATAGTCAGTCCCTCCATATAGGTTTTAGAATTATTTGTTAGTGTGTGCAGGGATACAAATTTGAAAGATTCGTCTTGCAAATTTGTGGAATTGCGAGACTGTTGGTATAGCGGTGCAGATTTAGAAGATTCGTTATGCAAATTTGCAATCTTGATAATCGATCAAGTTTTATCACTTTTGCGACTATATATTAATGGAGCTTCGTCAAGAATGATACAAAATTGCAAAGACATTATCCAAGAGCAGCTCATAAATGATGTCATTATATTAGGGGTGTTTAATTCTTTATTGAGAATGTAGATCTCTTAAGGGATGATTATAGGTGTCAAATATCTATTACTATTTAATGAAATCACCTCTCCCTATTCTATTCCAAAAAAATAAAAAATAAAAAAATTTAACATATCAAAAGATTATTTAAACTAATTTTAATAGTAAAGTAAAACTTTACAAACTTTTAATAAAATGAGGTGTACAATAGATATTATATTTATATGGGTGTAAAGTTTTTTTTTAAAAAAAATGCTTACGGGGGCCTAAGGCTCCGGATATGAGTGTAAAGTTAAATTAAAGTGATAAAAAATTATTCCGATATTGATAAAAATCGTACTGATACAAATAAATTGTAATCTACTAGTATATTTAATTAATTAATTAATTTACAGTTATTAGAGGAGTAAAAATATTGAGTAAGTTGCCTCAAATGTATTTAATGTACACTAGCATATATATAATTGTAACCTAGATAGCTTGATTTAATTTCCTTTTTGGTTTTGAAGCTGGTGATCCCATGCTAATATTAGAATGACCCAAAATATGTGACCATATATATATATATATATTCGAATTGAGCTCGTAATTAGTAAAAAAAATAACGTAATTGTCTCATTTTTACAGTTTTCCACAAATTGATATATTTTTGTTATGCAAAATGAGGCACTTATGTTATTTGTTTGCTAATTTCGAGCTCAATTTGGATCTTTAAGGATTGAAATGACCCCTAAAACATTAACCGAAGATTTTTCGACATGTAAAAGTTGAATTGAGCTGCAATTTACAATTTATACGAACTTTGGGCTGCAATTTGCAAAAAAAAAAAAAAAAAAAAAAAAATGGCTGCAATTTGCAAAATACGAACTTTAAATGGTTGCAATTTGCAAATTTTCCTATTTATTATATACTTCCTCCCATTGTTTCACATCCATTACTTTTCAATAAACAATTAACTCCAATATCTTTCTTTTATAATTATTTAATAACTCAAGTACCCCACTTATCTCTTATTTCATTTAAGTCAATTAAATTGTCTAAAACTATGTGTCGGTCAAACTGTAACACTAAGTGAAATACAAAAGGAGTAATATTAATTATTAATTAACATCTTATACATTTTCCGCAAAAAGGAAAAAAAAAACATCTTATACTTGTATGAAGTATTAATTTGGGTAGGTTTCCAAAAATAATTTTTTTAAAAAAAGTATTAATTTGGGTACACATTATTTATTTTGTTATATCACTTTAACAAATTCTTTTTGATAGATATTATTGTTGGATAATATTTGTCGGATATATTTGTATATATTTTGTATAGTTATCTTATGAACCCCTAATATGATTAGGGTTAGGATTGTAACTCTATATAAATCGATCAATGGTACACACTTCAATTTGAGGAGTTTTCCCGAAATCTAACGTGGTATCACAACATTAGGTTTCGATCCTAGGAATTCTTTTTTTCTTTCTTTCTCACGCTTCCTTTCATCTCCTAACACCGTCCCTTTCTCATGGCCAAAGACGACGAGACTCCTCCGCCGCCACCGCCGGCCAATGAATTTCATCCTGCTCTTACTGTAAATAACATAAAGAATGCACTCCCCTTACATTGGATTTCCAGAACGTGCACTACTCTAGCTGGGTGGAATTGTTCCAGAATCATCTAACACTTTTCTACACATAATCAATCTTGTAATTTCTCAAAATTTCCCACTTATTACTATGAGTCACCCCCCATCCATACACCAACTCATGCCCACTAACTTATGCAATGTCACCTTACAAATATTAATGGAAACCAAACAACATAATGACAAGTGACCAAGTGACAATGTAATAAATGTATAAAATTATTGTACAACAAATAATTTTAGGGTAAAATTTATTGGTGTGAAACAATCTTTAAGCTGCTATTATTTTTATAACATAGTATATGTTAAAGAAGTGTTTTTAAGGGAAAAATTTTATAAAAAAATAATATGGTTATCTTATACATTAGGGCATGTTCTCATTAATAGAACTGAACTTATTAGAACTGAATTGAACTTATTAGAACTGAACAGAATTGAACTTATTAGAGCTGAACAGAATTGAAAATAACGTATCAGAACAGGCCCTAAGAGTGATATATTTCTTATAAAACGACAACTTTATTATTTAAGAAAATAAGTAACTATTTTTTATGTCAATGGAACATTTGATCATTTTATAGTAATTCCGCTCATTGTACAATTACACTTTCCTATTTAAAAATCTACTAAATCCAACCGTTAGAGACCTTTAGGGTTTAAAAATTAAAATTACAAAAAGTTTTGATCATAATTATGCTAAAGTCATAATCATAATGAAACTTAACTTTCGTTTGTCCACCCAAAAGAGAATATAAATGGGGACACAAACAACATAAAGTGTGAACATAAAAACACTCCTAATAAAAAGAAAATACACTTTGATGCTACCAAATAATGATGGCAACTCTATAGAATTGAAGTAGCTTTTATTAATATATTTACACTTCGTATTCAATAATGTGATCACAAAATATGTTTAACTCCGTCATTTATGGACCAGCTGAGCATGCGGCTGCTCGAATTATTTCATAAGTGGGTGGGCCCAATAAGGCTATGGTATGGTATGGCCTTTTCTTGTTGTCACTTTGGAATAAATTCGATTTCATTTGTTTTAGAATGGAATAAATTCATAAGTCAAAAAAAAAAAAAAAAAAAAAAGGAAATAAATTCAAATTACTTTTGTTGAAATTTGGCAAACTAGTTTTATTAACGTTAGTGGCCTTAGCTTGTTGTGTGTAAAAGCATACAAATTTGGTTGTAGAGCTTTAACTTGTTCCAAGTGTTGTATTATCTGGAGAAATCATTGCCATGTGGTAGTCAATCTGACATAAATGTAGTAGCCACATGTAATAATCTATGAGCTTTGTTTAGTTTATATTGTTTCATGCTTTAGTTATAAAATCAGTTTTAAGTTAGGATAGAATCATATTAGGAGAAAAAAAAACTCCATATATACTTTATTAATAAATATAAGCCTATTTTTCAAAAAAATAAAAATAAATATAAGCCTAGACTAGATCAAATCAGACGAGAATTTATTCATATATGAAGAATTTTCTATCAATGTTAAAATGAATTATAATGTTTGAAAATTCATTTGTGAGATATGTAATATTACTAAACCTACCAATTTTGTAAATATCTAGGCATTATTATATCTCTTAACCGTTTAATCCACTTAGACTATTTCCCTCTTTTAGACAAAACTTGTTCTAAAATTATAGAGTTAAGCATAAGGTTGGTGATTATGTTTTATATTTTTTCACCGTTTGGTAATTATGTTATTTTTTTTTTCACCGTGTGGTGATTAGAGGGGTAATTCTGGCAAAAAATAGATATAAAGAAGCAAAAATTTAATCACTTATCAGATATGGGTTAAAAACTTAGTCACTTGTGGTTAACCAATAGGAAAAAAGCAGGTATTTAATTTTTTTTATTCACACCAGTCACTTCAAATTTGTGAAAATGACGGCTCTTATGAACTTTTCCCAAAATTTCCCCCTTTGGTGCACTTCTTCTTCTTCCCCTTCCCCACGTTTCCTTTTTTTTTTTTTTATTAATTTTCTTTGCTAGTTCTTCAAACTTCACTCTTAATGAATAATGGTGATTTGCTTTTTTGGAAAGCTTGATTAAAGGAGTTCGACACTTTGAAAGGTAAATTTATACTTGATCTCTTTGGTTAAGACGTTAAGTTATTCATAATTGCCTCAATCGTTGTGTCGTCTTTAAAATCGAAAAAAGTAGGGTTTAAATTTTGTCAAAAATTGTGGAATTCTTCCTGAATTTAGGGTCGAATTTGGTGTTTGATGATAAAATTTCGTATTTTTACCTTTAGATTATTGTTGTAAGACTCTTGATTTGCTAATGCATGGTTAAATTGGGTGGGTATCTTGACTTTAGTGTAATTGGAAGGAGTAGTGTGAAACAGAGTAATTGTACTTAATTGAAAGAATTTAGTATTTAATGTCGAGTAAAGTGTATTTATGTATTAATTTGTTTGTGAATTATATGAAAGTTGTTTTATTTTCAATATGTGTTGATGTTAAACAATAGCTATTGATTTTTTAATTGAATGCCAATTATATGTTTTAGATGGAGATGATCCCAATGACACTTGTTGTTCGATTAGGTGGGGTGTGGAAACATACTCCTGATTTATACTTTTGTAATTCATCCCAACAGCTAGTATTATATATTCAGCTTTGAAACTCATTTCATGATTTAATATTGATAAGTGATTAAGTTTATGTTGGGTGACTAAGTGTTTTTTTTTTTTTTTTTTTTTTTTTTTTTTTTTTTTTTTTTTTTTTTTTTGCTGCTGAGTTCAAAACAGGTTAAAAGGTGTTCCGGTGAGTTAAGTGCTCGGTTTTTCTAACTCAATCACCAAAGGGTGAAATAAAAAAACTTGATAACCAAAGGGTGAAAAAAACAAAAACTTGATCACCATTTGTATAGTTAACTCTAAAATTAAAGGTTGGCAAGCCAAACTTTTAAACATGGCGGGAAGATACATTCTAATTAAATCAGTTTTAAATTCTTATCCGGTTTATGCCATGCAAACTAATTTTTTCCTAAATCGGTTCTTTCTCACTTTCAAAAGTATTGCAAACAATTTCTTTCGAATAAAATTAATAGAATTAAATTTATCCCTCGTACTCATTGGAAGGTTCGTTGTTTGTGATCCCATGGCAAAGGGTGGCCTATGTATTAGAGAATTGGGTAGATGGAATTTAGCTTTCATGGTTAAGTTAGGTTGGAAGATCCTTACTCAAGATCATAAGTTTTGGGTTCAAATTTTTAAAAATAAATATTTTAAATATTCTAATTTCCTAGATTACTCTTGTAAACCCAATGATTCTATCTCCCGGAAAGACATTTTGGTTGGAAGAAACATTTTAAAAAAAGAATCATGATAAACATTAAACTTTCATCTGTTGATATTCATCTTGTTTAATTTTCTGCTGCTGCACCCTCCTATTTCTGTCTTTAATAGTTATTGTAGTTATCTTTTACATATTTGTAAACTAAACTTATCTCATTTTAAAGGGGTTTACAAATCTTTGAAGTGCTTATCTTTTGCTTAAAAAAAATGAAATATAAAGAATGTACAATTCACAATAATTATCGAAGTATTTGATATATTTAAATTACTTAATAAATATCGTATGATCTAACGTGATTAAAGGAGTTAAGCACAAATTCAGGTACTCAATTCTTCTTTTTTTTCACCGTTTAGGTACTGAATTGTTTTTACTTTGCTTTTGGATACTGAGTTAAGAATTCCGACCAAAAAAAAATAAATCAGCCTAAGAATTCAGTACCTTTGGTTAAAGAATTCAGTATCTTGGTTAAGAGAAAGTGGGCCCCACCCGATTAAAAAAATTCGCGGGTCACCCGTAATTTTTTTCCCTCTCTTATTCTTTATTCCCCCTTTTGCTCCCTTTATTCTTTCCTTTTCTGGAAATTCTACTACGTCATTGTCGAAGAACACGAGCAAGCTTGGGCTCGATTATGGGGAAAACGACACCAAAAGCCACCATTTTTGTAAGGTAAGCTCAATTACTCATGGATTATGTTGATATTTTGATATAAATTTTGAATTTTTGCCCATTTCTTGATGTCATTTGCGACCTAGGGTTTTTGATTTTTTGGGGTTTTTTTTTAACAAATTGATGATGTCGATTTCTTGTGTTTTTGTGTTAAATTTGTTGCTTTGTTGTTGTTTGTTGTTGGATTAAGCTAGTGTTGTTGTTGAATGTTGATTGCATGTTGTTTAAATTGTGCAAGGGTTTGATTAGTTGATATGTTTTTCGCACTAAAACAGGGGAAGTTTTGGTGAAATTGTGTATGTGTATGTGTGATTAGTTGATATGTTTTTCGCACTAAAGCAATCCATGATTTGAAGCTTACTGTTTATGTTTTTTCCAATTTGCAGGAGGCTGATTTTGTGGCTGGTATACTGAAGAAGCAGTAGCAGGGGAAGAATTGAAGAAGCAGCAGCTGGGGAAGAACCTAGCAACAACTTTTTTTTTTTTTTTTTTTTTTTTTTTTTTTTTTTAATTTCTAAAAAATCTGGGAAAACCTTGTTGAAGAATTTGTGCCTAAATAGACATGGTGAATGAACCTTTTTTTGATGATATTTGTTGCTGGTGTACTGCTATAGCTTCTGCGTTGCTGTTTTTGTTTTTGTTTTTGTTTTTTTTTTTATTGAAATTGAATCAGGGAAAATCGTTTTGGATTAATTTTGTTAAGAAAACATGGTGTGCTGCTAGTGTTTTGCAGGTGTTTTCATGGCATTTTTTGGCCAAGTTCATGCCCCTTTAAATAGAGTAATAATGGCTAGTTTATGAGTCAAAGTTAAGAATTTTTTTTTAATATTAATTTTTGAATTAGGTATGGTTAGTGATGAGTTAGTGGTGAGTTAGTTCACCTGAAAATCACTTGAGTACCCAAAAGCAAAGCAAAAAAAATTGAGTACCTAAAAGGTGAAATAAGGAAAAATTGAATACCTAATTGTACTCTTAACTTTGATTAAAGAGAATATAAATCATTACAAAATTTAAATCAATTGATAAAAGAGGATAGTACTAGCATGATTAGTTCAAAAATTTGCCATCTGATTAGCCTCCCAATGATAATAATTAAAAGCGACAATGTTTACCATTAGACAATATTATGGATTGGGCAAGAAAAATACCATTTACATTTGACGATTTTGATGCTAGTCAATTTTCAAATTACAAAGCCCAACGTCAACCTACTTTATAAGATTTAAAACATGCTCCACCTATTATGTATGCTCCAAGATATCAATACCTTTCAATTTGTGGGTTTTTTTCCGTGTGAAGAAATTACCATACACGGTACATTGTACGGCTAACCCAAATGCTGATGAAGCGATGACCAAGAAAGTCATCAATTGCATTGTACCGTTCACAATTTTCAACGAAATCGACGATCATTGCTAGTAATAAACACACGTTTGAACCATCCAATTCTTTTTAAATATAAATTATACATCATGCAATACAAAAGAGAAACAATGTTATATTTTGTATTATTTATATAATACCCTACATTTAAATCATATATATATATATATATATATATATATATATATATATATATATATATATATATATATATATAAAGGAGAGTTTTTCCCCGAGTTTTTAGAGAGCCACGTAGGATTTAATTTTCTTAGCGCGCCATGTAGGATTATAAATTTAAGTGGTAGCCAATTAAATAAGAGATTATTAATTCTTCTACATTTAAATAATTCAAATGCCACGTAAGCAAAATTGACGAATGAGATTTTAAAGTTTAAATTAATTAAATACAAATTATTATCTTTTGAGATTAGAAATTTTATCTAATATTTTAAAACTAATATAATAACAATTTTAATCAAATAAATATGAAAAATATTTTTTTAAAAAATACTAATAAACCGTGCATCGCACGGGCTTCGTCTAGTAAAATTATAAAGAGGATTTATTTAACTTTAATGAACATTAACTTATACTTATAAAGTTAAATGTTATAAAAACAATGACAAATGTTTTTGTAATTACATTTAAATGATTAAAGTTTATTCAAGCTCTAGTATAAAATCAAAAGCAAACTCAAACAAACCAAATCCTTAACAAGTCATATTCAAAATGTTTTTATTTTTATTTTATTTTATTTTTTTAATTTATTATTTTTATTTTCAAACCAACCGATACTCAAAAGCAAACTCAAACAAACCAAATCCTTAGGGTTCGTTTGGCATTGCTGTGGTTTTCTGTTTTTTGGTTTTTTGTTTTCTAAAAGTATATGATGTGTCCCATAATGAATCAAAAATTATATAAACTTATTAAAATTATGATAATTTTGAAAAGTGACAACAAAAAAAAGAATACTGAAAACCAAAACTGATGCCAAACAAGCCCTTAACAAGTCATAATTAGAATGTTATGTATTTAGTTATTTATTTATTTTAAATTTCAAACCAACTGATGCTCAATTCAGATCACCAGATCAGCTTGTTCGCTGCTCTACAAGTGTGCTTGTTTGGTACTCAATGTTGATAAATGAATAAAAAGTGTTACGCTTGCATGTCTGCTGTCTCCAGGCAAAAGTGTGTTGCACATTCCAAGTTTACAGATGGGTCTTGATTTAGCATCACTTAGATCAGTTAAATGGGCACAAATTAAAGATAAGTGTCATCATCCTGTAATTTTGGTTTTATCTACAGGGGTAAAAAATTTGCATCATGGTATCATCAAGTAGTATTACAATAGTACAGACTACAGAGCTCATAAATGTCTGCCAAATGGAGGATTTGGGGTTGGGGCGTACATATGGTTACATTGCCCTTAAAATCATTTTTCCTCTTATTGCTTAGTGATGGCTTTGCAGATCAATACTACTAACTATCTAAAAAAACCTATCTTTTTTGTAAAAGTGACACTATAACAGTCACGTGATCAAGCTTGCCACCACTGTATCCAGGATGACCAGCCGCCTTTGCTGCATCAGCAAAGGGACTTCTTGCAGATTCTGACCTCCCCACTTCTGCTGCTGTGGTTGTTAAGAGTTCTGCTAGGTCCTGATAACAGAGAAGGGAAGAAATATAAGACTCAAAGTTAGTTATCAACGGATGGGGAAAGCCAACTTTAAGGGCAGTGAAAGAGCCAGCAAATGAGAAATACTTCGGTGCTGATGATGTGAGAAAGAAAACAAATTGATTTGAATCAAGCTTTTTACAATAATGCGACTGACCTCTGCTATCAATTAATCACAAAAGTAGCTTTGTATGTAGTTTATTTTCAAGGTTGAAGTTTGGAATATAGGCTCCTAAGGGGTGGATGCAACGTATCAGCTACATGAATGCAATTAAGAAAACCTAGGCAAATGCAGCTCCCACATATTTTCTACCAAAAATCTAGGTTTAAATATGTTGTTTCCTTGATCCTTAGCAACCAATAGGCAATTTTAAAAAATAAAAAAATAAAAAATATTGATTCCTTATGACAAGACATTAAAGATAACAGCATACTGCCACTTGATATGTTATACACCTAGTATTTTCTGCAAATTACCTGGAAATTTTAGTAGCAACTTTTTACTGTTTACGGGGAGAAGGGTGGTGATGGTTGGAGGGAATGTATTGCATGTTAAAGCTTTCTTTCAACAGTTAATAGACTTTTCATTAATCTACAAAGCATCTAGGGATACGGTTATAAACATACACAACCCAGTCCCCACATCCAGCTAATAGAGAAGATCTAAATTGGGTGGTGGTGTTAAGGAACAGCTACCCGGACGTATCACAATTTGCAAATTACCACTTGAATGGTAGTGAGAATTACATGTCCAGAAAGAATTGTGAGGGGTGTGTGTAAGGCCGTATGGGCTATATAAAATAAAATAAAATAAAAATAAAAATAAAAATAAAAAGAAAGAAAATGAGCATTGACAAGAGAAATAAAAAAAAAAGTACGATCAATCAATCAAAGCCTTAATTCCATAAGTGGAGTCGGCTAGCATGAACCAAATTTGATTATTCCGTATAGTCGACATAAATCTTCTTCCTCCCATCTCTTACGATCCAATGCTTTATCCTCATGCAAATCCATAAACGTCATATCCTTCCTTCCTAACTCCTTCCAACCAAGTCATTTTCGGTCTCCCTCTCCCTCGTTCAAGCCCTCCATGGTCCCACTCTTCCACTCTTCTGACCGGTGCACCCTCGGGACTCCGTCTTACAACGCAGACGGTGACGGTTTTCTCTTATTTTATCTGCAATGCTTGCCACACTTACTTTCTTGCGAATAACCTTATTTCTGATTCTATCTCTTAGAGTGTTCCCACACATCCATCTTAACATGCGTTTAAGGAGTGAGTTTTTAATTTTAGTTTTTTTCTTCAAGGATGGAAAACAAGGATCCGACCAACTAAACTTTTATAGTACAAACCAAACCGTAAAGGAGGAACAATACTATCCATAAATCCCTCACACAAAGTGCTAATTCGTTTACCTCTTTAAAGCAATGATGAAAAAATTATCAATCCAAAGGTGTTACCTGTTACTATATGAGAAGACCAAAGAATGTCAGCAAAGTCTACTACTAACTATTGTTTTTAGCACAATACGAACAAAACTTAAATGTAGCTGAAATAAACAAATAATAGGTGGGTGACAAGTTCTACACAATGTTATTGATGCTTAAGGACAAAATCTTCCCCTTTGTCACTTAGATGTGAACCATGTGGTTCAACCAGTCAGCCTCAGAAAAATCAAGATGCAGGCTCTTGATCAGCTTGATACTTAATGTTAGTGTGTTCAGGCAAGGGACTGTTTCAACCAGTCAGCCTCAGAAAAATCGAGATGCAGGCTCTTGATCAGCTTGATAATTAATGTTAGTGTGTTCAGGCAAGGGACTGTTTCACAGTTTTATCACTATAACTAGTTGTCCTGACCAGGTTTTAGTGTTTCAGAAAAAGAGGCTTCGCTGCCTCTCTAAATGTCTTTGAGGGAATAATTTAGCTCCAACCCAAGAAACCTACCATCTTTAATTTTGTTTTTGTTCTAAATTGAAATGGAAGATCTGATGATTTATCAGTTGAAAAAAAAAAATGCTACTTGAGGTACACACACACCTGTAAAGTCATCCCAGCTTCCAGAACTTTAGAAACCATGGAAGCAATTTCTTGATCATATAGATTATCAAAAAGGCCATCAGTTGCTGTTATGATCACATCGCCATCTTCTAAATCAATATGGTATTCCTGAAATAAAGCATAATCCCATTATTACCATCGTAAATCTCTAGCAGAATATTTAATATGACAACATAGCTGTTTCTTTTTGTCATTAAATTATTAGGAACTATAGTGCATGCCTGCAAACCCAGAGATCCAGGTTAATAGCTTTGTACTAGAGAATACCTCAGCATCTTCCACTGAATCATCACCCAAACCAATTGCATAAGGAAAACTGAACTCATGAACCATTGGAGAAGATTTTTGGACGACGGTCCCATTCCGTATTATAACAAATCCCGAGTCCCCAATATTTGCCACATGGAGGACCTACACGAACAATAAATCATAAAAAAAACTGACCTCACAGAATTAAGAATTCTTACATTTAGAGCCAAAATTATGTTAGTTTCTACATTAATAAGCTGAACATTCAAATTAAGCATTCACATATTCAATAGAATTCTGTCCATCCCAATAACCAAATTGTGCTGCGCTAGATACAGTAGGGTGGATACCTGAATAAAAGAAGTTACTTTGGTTTATTGTTGATTAAAATAGAATCTTTTTGAATACTTAGAACCTCATCAGAAGATATGCAACATGCAACAAGATTGAACTTATTCCCAACATTTGGATTTTACAATTCAATATACGAGGAGAGAGGACTTCTCTATTGCCAAAGACAACTAGCTTAAACCAATCCTTTTTAAGTAGATATTCATGGTATCTTGTCTATCTTCTACATTAAACCTGAGGATCCACGAATGAGTAAATAATAAGCCCACTTAAACATAGAACTTCCCATAAAATCGATTTAGAGACTTTAGACATCACATTAACACATCAAGAAAATAGAATTGCTAATTAAAAGAAAAGGAAAAAATAAATAAAAAAAGTAAAATGACAGTATGTAGTCATCTACAAAAGATCAACACAATTAAACCAGTTTAGCAAATATATCTTGAGACCCATACATTTTTGGGTCTTTCTCTAAGAGGATATATGATTTGTACATGTGATGAAATAATGTTAGATTATGTAAATAATCTACAGTATTTAGTTTGTAATTATCTTGTAAATTATATAGTCAAAGGGCTATCAATTAGTTCCTATTTTTATATAGTCAAAGGGCTATCAATTATCTTGTAAATTACATAATCTAACAAATAACAAACCATTAAGAGATGAACAGGACATGCCCTCTAACTACTCATTACTTTAGAGTGAAAGGCAAAAAACCAACTCCGTAAAGTTACCTCTTTGTCAAGGTGAGCAATCAAAACCCTAGCTGCACCAGTAGATTGTGTTATTGCAGCACTTTGCTGGAGAAGCTGTTTAACGTTGGTTAATCTAGCACTCGTGCTCTTTAGTAGCTTTTCACAGTTCTGCATGAATTCGTGAGCATACAATCCCATGTCCACTCCTATAAACAGAAGAAAAGAATCAATTAGAAAGTAATTTATCTGGAAGACTGGAAATAAGAATTCTAGACATGAAACTAAATATACTTGGATAAAGGGAAAATCCATTAGAAACTATACAAGAAAATAGTAAACTCTCATCATAATAGAAAAACAAGGAATCCCAATACAATGTACTAATGTGCAATGTGATATATCTGATGATTGATGGGAAATTATCATGCAATGTACTAATGTGCATGACAGAAGACAATCCCATGTCCACTCCTATAAACAGAAGACAAGAATCAATTAGAAAGTAATTTATCTGGAAGACTGGAAATAAGAATTCTAGACATGAAGCTAAATATACTTGGATAAAGGGAAAATCCATTAGAAACTATACAAGAAAATAGTAAACTCTCATCATAATAGAAAAACAAGGAATCCCAATACAATGTACTAATGTGCAATGTGATATATCTGATGATTGATGGGAAATTATCATGCAATGTACTAATGTGCATGACATATTAAGTTATCTCTTTCCAGAACACATATTTATCAATAATTCCAGCACCTGCTACAAACACATAAAAAAGCAAATTTGGCAACTTTTACATATTACTTCCTCCATTATGAGTCCAATTAGGTATTCAATTAATTTGAATGAAAGAACATGCTACTAACAGAAGGTACGCAGGCAACAAGAGTTTCTTCAAAAACGATCCATCAATGCAATCACATGGAAAGCATGCAGTAAATGTTTCAAAGCAGCACCTCATCATGCTCTCAAGCAACTAATGGGTGCAAGAATGTAACCACTTTCATAAATTTAAGCTACAATAGCTCCTTTCAATATCATCACAGACAACACCACCATAGAGATGTAAATCTAACAAGTAGATAAATAGGCTACTCTTTATTTTTAAGCATCCAGTTTACTTATTGACACCCCCCGCCCCCAACCCCTTAAATCTAAAAGCAACAGGGAGTGGTCACAAGATCAAGTTGGTTAAATTTTAACTATCCAGAAATCCAGGACCACAATAGAGCAAGTTGGCTCTTGATGATTACAAATTTACAATGGTGCATTATTCATTAATCAAATTCCTCTTCACAATAGAATATTGTTGTTCACTGTTAGCAGGCTAAACCAAATGTCTCAAGGGCCTCTTCTTGTATTTGTAGCCTAATAAAGGCCTCTAGCATCAAGGGTTTATTGACAACCCCCAATTAACGGGTAATTTTGCTAGATACAAAGTTTCATAAGAGGCAATTTAGTAATGAAATGAAATTTTAAAAAACAATTCACGATAATACGATGGAGAACTGGAGAAGCCAGTTAATAATATGAGAATTCACCTCCAAGGGACCATTGACCAACGCCGTCTGCCACACCAAACCAGTTCTTGGAAACAAAATGGGCATCCTTTCCACCTGTCAAAGCCTGGAAATTATTATTCTTTGTATTACTGAACTGAACGTAGACTAAAGGTCTGAAAATCAGTTTATTAATTCTCTATCATTCACATGCAGTTATCAGGTTTCCCAATAAAATGAATTAGTAACTTTCCCAAAGTACAAATCTTCATTGAAAACATGACAACTTCACAAAATTCTTGTAGAAACATCAGCATGGCCTTGTCTCTACAAGTTTGCCACAAATTTCTGATTAGCTTAGCCTTATGCTTTCAGTCAATATTCTGTATATACTGGGAGTTTGACTCAACCAGAGGAATTCATCTGACCTGACAGAGACACTATTTGCTCTCTCTCAAATCTTTAACAATTAAAAAAGATAAGCTCATGTGGAAAGCATTAAATAGATTATCCATACCTCAGGAAAATGTTCCAATGATGCAACAGCTGATGAAAGAGAAAAGGCAGGAGATGAGGGTTCCGCTTCGTTCAGACTGAAATGGAGTAGGCATACAAGAAACAAGCAGCTAGAATAAGATGATAGCTAAAACATAATCAAGGTGGTGGTATGTGCACACATACTAACATCACCAGTAATCTACTAGATGAATTAATGAAATAAGTAATCTTATTCCTATGTTCTGTTTTAATGTTCCTGCTATCCTTTCATAGCCCCTTTCAATTTATTGTTCCTGTTTGGAATATTCCATTTTATTACCTACTATTTCCCTATATTGATCAACTAGTCCCCATTAAGAAATTCAATGCCTTTTAGCCCCCCCTCCCCCCTGTTTATGTCCCAAACAACCCGATAACTCGACTCAACCACTTTTACATTTTCCTTTAACGACCTTTGGTATTTCCCGAAATTGCTTGTACATTAAGATGGAACAGAGGGGTTAAACTAAAGAAAAATGCAATGAGGGAAACATATGTGTATGATGATTGGCAAAGATTCTAGACACCTTATAAATAGTTCATCTTTCCTCCTCTCCTCCCCTCCCCTCCACAGTCCTCCCCCCTTTCAAAGCAGTAGCTTAAAGTCTACTTTAAAAGTCAACAATAGGAAAACTTTGAAGTAAATAAATTCCCTTTAAACCATATTCCATGCTTTAATACGGACACACTAGATGAAACAGTAACCCAAGAATGAGTGTATGAGGAATTATGCAGACTTGCAGAGAATATGCAATTATGCAAGCATATTGAATGGCAAGTATTTGATAAACTACTAGATAACTCAGGTAATAGTTACCTAAAAGTTGGGGGTGGGGACACCCTAATTTGCAAGGTTGCTTTAATTCAGGCAAAAAAGTATAAAGCTTCAGTAAAACGAATTTAAGTCTACCTGTCAAGACCAATTTCTGGTGAAGATATCTCTGATGTAATAGGACCCGCTGCTACCAGACTATTAGTAATATCATCACCAGATTGTGTAACAGTATTATTTATGGCATCATGAACCTGAAAAAAACACATCAAAAAATTTCTAGATACAAAAGAGAGAATAGAAAAAAAGGAAAAACTTATTATTAATACAGAGGAGATGTTCTTGAGAGCTTTAGGCAATACATAAGCTACATAGATGAAGCCCTATCGAAGTCCAAAGATATAATAATGACATAGAACATGTCTTTATTTATGGTCAGCTGTTAAAAACAGATTAATTTTACAACTCTTACTAATTACAAAGTGTGCTCAGCCTAATCATGTTAGTCCCATGCAGGTTCTTTGCAGGAAACCCTGGAAAGTACCAGACATCACAAGTTATAGGAAGGACTGCTACTTTGCACACATAAAGTGCCCCAAATCAAGCTAGTTCTCCAAACTATTCTCACAAGTCTCAAAGAGATAATGTATCAATTTACCAGCAACAAATCCTTTGGAAAAAGAATAGAAAGTAAAATAGTTCTTTCTCCCTAAAACCATAAGTAATTCCCTTTCATTTTGCTTTGTAATATATATACACTACATAGTTAGCTATGCCTCCAAATTTATGCTCTTCTCAGGAGATTTGCTCTTGTTATCCAAGAGCAGATAATATATGACATTCCTCTAGCAAGACATTGCATAGCTCATGCAATTCTTATTGCAAAAGGCACGAGTTTTGGATTTCCAAATACAGTGTCTCCTTGTAGAAAATACATTCTTTAACTGGCTACATCATTGCCCCAAAGTAACTTTAAATAGTATTCTCTAATATAATTGTAAATCTGTACAACAAACTTACCACCTGGGTAATAACCTACACTGATTGTAAGTTCATTTTAGACAGATTACATAACTAAAATATTTTCGTGAAAAAGAAATGTTAATTGTTAAATAGTGAAAGTATCATAGTACATATATTGTTAGAGATCATCTTCAGACATGGGAAGTCCAAAAAGGTCAATTATATTAATTTTTCTAAATGTGGCTTATCTATGAAGCAAGAGATGTCAACAAGAAAAATTTCCAAGAACAATAGAAATGACAGGAAAACCACAATATTCCCAAACACTGATTGAAGCACTTAGATGCATCCACACTTACACATGAATCAAATTAACAATCTGTTACGTGGAAGAAGGGACAACTTATTTGGAAAGCAGAAATATTATGACTATTGTTTAATCAAATTGAAACTTTCCATGTTCAGCGGTTCTCCTACAGTCCTAGTTCTATGTGAAGATATACGAAACAACCAACCTAAACATAACCACATATCCATTTTTGCAAACATAGAAATCTCACAAGCAAACAAAAGTGATTAAATGTAAGAAGGGGAAATAATAACTGCCTTTTCTTTTCAAAATCAGAATAACAAAATATCAATCTAACCTTGTTGGAGTCTAAAAATGATCCCAAGCCAACAACATCATCTTGCAACTCAGAACTCGTTTCTTCTTCAAGAATTGGTTCTGCTTCGAACTTTTTAGACATCAATTCTACTGAATCGTCATCCTCATCCATTGGTATTGGGTGATTAACCGTAAGGACACATGCCTTCTCCGTCTCATCCTTCAAAGACACTGATGTATACTCCGCAATCTCATCCTTCACAACTGCCTTTTTAACAATCTCATCCTCCACGATCTCGTCCTCCACAATCCCATTCTTCACAGTCTCATTCTCCAAAGATACTACCTTATCCTCCACAATGTCGTCCTTCCCAATACTGCCCTTGATAATCTCAATCTCCAAAGCCACTACCTTTTCCTCACTCTCATCCTTCACAACGTCGCCCTTCACAGTCTCATCCACCGAAGACACTACCTTATCCTCCTCAATCTCACCCTCTACAATGTCGTCCTTCACAGTATCATCTACAAAAGACACTACCTTGTCCTCAATGTCACCCTTCATAGTCTCATCCACCAAAGACCCAACCTTATTCACCTCAATCTCATCCTCCACAATTTTGTCCTTCACAACGTCGCCCTTAACAGTCTCCTCCACCATAGAATCTACTTTACCCTCCCCAATCTCATCCTCTACAATCTTGTCCTTCACAATGTTGCCCTTCAGAGTCTCATCTACCAAAGACAATACCTTATCCTCCTCAATCTCATCCTCCACAATTTCGTCCTTCACAATGCCGCACTCAACAGTCTCTTCCATTTTAGACACTACCTTATCCACCTCAACATCATCCTCCACAATTTCTTCCTTTACAATGTTGTCCTTAACAGTCTCTTCCACCAAAGACACTACCTTACCCTCCCCAATCTCATTTTCCACAATCTCGTCCTTCACAATGTTGTCCTTCATAGTCTCTACTATCGAAGACACTACCTTATCTTCCTCAATCTCATCCCTCACAATGTCACGGATGTCACCCTTAATAGTCTCTTCCACCAGAGACATCACCTTACCCTCCTCTATTTCATCCTCTACAAACACGTCCTTCACAATGTCGCCCTTCAGAGTCTCTTCCATCGAAGACACTACCTTATCCTCCTCAATCATATCCTCCACAATTTCATCCTTCACAATGTCCCCCTTCAAAATCCCATTTTCCTCCAAAGACACTACCTTATCCTCCACAACACCGGCCTTCACAATCTCATTCTCCACAATGTCGTCCTTCACAATCTCATCCTCCAAAATACCGCCTTTCACAGTCTCATCCTCCTCCAAAGACACTACATCACCCTCCACAACATCGCCCGCGACAGTCCCATCCTTCACATACTCATCCTCCAAAGACACAACCTCATTCTTCACAACCTCATCCTCCAAAGTTTCCACTACACCTGAAGCTTTGACATCCAAACTCATCCCACCGACATTAGACCGCTCATCAACACCATGCTCAACCTCATCATCATCACTCTTCTCCTTAGAACCTTCACTCAATCCTTCATCCTTCCCAATCACCACACCAACACTCGAATCACGCATCGTAACGTCGCCATTTCCTCCCTTATTCTCATACTTCCCCGCATCAAAATCACTCAAATTCTCAACTCCTACCACTGAATTTAAACCACAATTCTGCTCATCTTCAACAGAATTTCCACTAAATTGAGCATCAGACTGTAAATTAACAACATTATCAGCATTTTCCTCACCAATTTCCTTCAATTCAACACTATTCCTATCAAAATTCTCCACCTTAGTCCTCTCACTATCATTCTCATCATCATTAACAACATTACCTTCTAAACTTTCATCACTTTCTCTCTCCAATTCCACTTCAATTCCGCCATTATTATCCTCCAAATTTCCAGAAATTTCACTCGCATCACCGAATTTGAAACTGACACTACCATCAGCGAGCTCTGCACACGAACAAAAAAAAAAAAAAGCGTCAAAAATCACAAATAATCCTCAAAATTACTGCAATCAGGTTTTCAACAGTACCAATTCTAGAAATTATCTCAAATTGCGAAGAATCAGAGCAGAGTTTGGTGACAAATGAGGAGTGAAAGAATCTGCGACGAAGAGGAGCGAAGCGAACGAAGGAGAAGGTAGAATGAGGAGAGAGAGTGAGAGGTGAGAAGAGAGAGAAAATGGAGGAATTGGAAGAGAAGTTGGTGTGTAGCATGTCCGCCATTGGAGGACTTGAGCAGAAGCTCGAGAGTGAGGATCAAAATTTGGTATTATCATGTTTTTTGCATTAATTATCGGTTCAAAATTACGTGGTAGGATATAATTGGTTTAGGTTATGGTGTTTTTAAATTTTTGTGATTTGGAGAATTATCGTCACCTCTTGGACTAGACTTTTGATCAGGTCGGTTTATTTGGTTGTCGGATTAGATTAGTTTGATTCTAATTATTAGTGGTTCGATTTGGTTAGAATATTTTTTTATTATATTTTTCACTTGTCTTTGAACTTTTTAAAGAAAGCTCTTCTCCTAAATAATGCTAGCAAAACACCCAATTCATAAATTACGGTCAATCTTTTATTTATTCCCATTATACCGTCCACGTAAGCTCAAAGAAATAACCTGATTTTTTATCGGTCCAGCTATCAAGTAGCGGTTTATCCTCAAAAAACCGCCACTTGAAGTAGCGGTTTTCAAAACTGAAAACCGCTACTTGAAGTAGCGGTTTATATCAAAACAAAGCATTGGCTTTTAACATGAAGACCAACCGCAAGCTTTAATTCTTGCTGTTCTTGCTATAAACTCACCACTACTGTATATTTATATACAATCTCCAAAAGCAAGGCTTATTATTTGTCAAAACTATTATGTGAATTGAAATAATTACAAAATTATTTAGTTAATTAGGTATAACAAAATTAGGGTATTATATAAAATAACCCTTCATCTGCGTATCTGACCCTTAATTTACAGCGATACCAAGACGAGGTTGGGGGCAAAAACGACGAAGATAGGGTGGCAAGAAGCCAATGGCAGTAGGGCTGTAGGGGAGGAGCACAGGTGGAGGTGTTCGTTCTTCGTAGTTGAGGCAGAAATCCTTGCTGGTTGAATAAATTGCAGGGGATGTTTATTAAACAAGAAACCGCTACCTGGTTTTGAGCAAGTATAAACCGCTACTTCAAGTAGCGGTTTTTCAATGTACATCGCTACTTCAAGTAGCGGTTTTTCAATGTACACCGCTATTTCAAGTAGCGGTTTTCCATTCAATCCGTAAAACAATAAAATTCTCTTGAACCGGTGACGTGGACGGTATAATAGGAATTAATAAAAGATTGACCGTAATTTGGGAATTGGGTGTTTTGCTAGCATTATTTAGAAAAAGGACTCTTTTAAAGAAGTTTCACAAATATTGTATTATATTCATTTCTAAAAAAGAAATAATTGTGTTCACACTACAAATACCTAATATATCCTTTCTTTTCAACCCTTACTTTTTTTTGTGTATACAATCGTATAGGCAACTTTTTATTTCTACCTTTCTCTCTCATCCTTTTTTCCACTACTAAAAAATTTGTGTCAAGTCCTTAGGGTGCAATAATAAAAGAACGAAGGAAGTATATGATTTTAATTCAAGTCGATTTGTAATCGAGTTAGGTTTGTAGCAGGTTAGGCTAGAAGCCTAGGTGTGGGTTTACCTGAGTTGATTCGGGTTCGAGTTCATATCAATTCAAGTCATAAGCAGATAGGATCTTAAATGTGTTGGGTTATTCGGTTTGTAATTGGGTCAAATTAGGTTAAGTTGGAGGTCTTGACACGATTTAATTTTAAGGAAGGGTTAAATAGGGCTAGTTAAGAAATGTAGCGACTCGGTTCCATGTTGTTAATTTTTAGTTGGGTTGTAAATTATTTGGGTCATATTCGACTATGGTTGAAACAATAAGATTGTATACTTGTACATGAGCTTTGTTGAATTGTATATATGTTGGAGTTTTGTGGAATTATTTATCTTGGAATCTTTTATGTAGTATTTTGTTTACATAATTATCAATATGTTAACCAAAGCGAGAGGAGTTCTTGCATCTTATAGAATGTAGTATCTTGGAGTTTTGTGGAATTATTTATTATCTTGGAATCTTTTATGTAGTATTTTGTGTACATAATTATCAATATGTTAACCAAAGCGAGAGGAGTTCTTGCATCTTATAGTATGTAGTATCTTGGAGTTTTGTGGAATTATTTATCTTGTAATCTTTTATGTAGTATTTTGAGAACATAATTATCAATATGTCAACCAAAGTGTGAAGTGTTTTTGTATATTTAAGTGTGAAAATTTTACAGTAGTAGTTTGAAATATGAGTAGCATAATATTTTAATGATTAATAATTCATAATTGACATATTTTTTCAAGTAATTAATTATATTACTTTATTAATGGTATTAATAGTATCATCAACATTTTTTTGGATTCATTAAATTTTTAGTTTAATTTATGTAATTTTTATTCTTATTTTATAGTTTCTCAATCTAATATATATATAAAGGGAAGTTTTTTCCTGAGATTTTAGAGCGCCATGTAGGATTTTTATTTTTAAAAAATTATTAGAGCGCCACATATGATTAATATTTTTAAAACGCTACAATAGGATTATGCCGCCTAAAATTAGTTAACGTGCCACATAAGATTATAAATTATAGTTATATCCAATAAATAATTCAAGTGCCACATAACCATAATTGACCATTGAGATTTTAATGGTTACAGGCTTCATCTAGTATATATTTATTTTATGTTGATTTTTTTTTTATTGACTACGGGTTAAATAAATATAACAGTATTACAAACTACGAGCCTTACTAGCTCCTTTGTTACAACATGAATATATTAAATTAAAAGACATCTTCCCGTGCTTGATCTAGCTGGGTTGAGAAATCCATCAATTGCCTTTGAACATACGACATAGAATACAACATTCAATTATTGAATCCCACTTTCCATTGATCTTAACTTGAAAAATGCATAAGAGGATGTTGAACAAACAAACTTTGATGGCATACATATATATTAATGAGCTGAAAAAGGCATAACACAAATTGAATCATACATTTAAGTGATTCGCTACCCTTAAATGTGGGTACCATTGATTTCTTCTCTGAGAAGGAGACCATTGACATACAATGAATCCCAAAAATGAATTTTGAAGGGCCCCAAATGGTTGCTTTTACTTTTCATTTTATTTAATTTTACTTTGAAAATTCAATAATAATTCACTGTTGTGGACACCTAAAAATGTCTCCCCAAAACCAAACTCGATGATGAACAACCTTTCACCGCCATTATTGGTCGGGTTGAGTATTTAATCTTGGCGTGCTTGAATCCATATTTCCATTTCATAAACCAACCCAATTCCTAGCCCATTTCCCCAAACCATAACTTATTTTTCTCTTTTCGTGCCTTTAAACCCAAATAATTCATTTCGTGTCCTTTAAAACCATTCATTTCGTGTCCTTTTTATAAAAACATTTAATACAGTTTATTTTAGTCCATAATCTGGGTCCGATGATTTAATAATTGGATGGGGTTTTAAAAGATCTTTCCAACGATATATTATAAGCCCAAATCCGAGTTATAATGAATAAGTTATGGCCAAAATATTAAACTGAGCCCAAACCGAACCTAAGCCCACCTTACCTACGACCCAATGATCATGTGGAGGGACCAAATTATTTAATCCCATTCCTAAACCAATTAGGATTAATTGGAGGCTTCTATAAGTTTCTAAAAGATCTTAATTATCCGTTTTGAAAAGATAAGATTAAAGAGTTTGAAATTGAATAAAACTTTTCTTTTTTTGAAAGTCCTTATTCTATTCGAATTGAAAGACGTTCAAAGATAGACAGATATTATTTTAGTGCCTCATATTTTTTATCCAAATTTTATATGTTTGGATATCCCTTGAATTATCTTTCCAATGATATATTATAATATCAATTCCGAGCTATAACGGAAAAGATATGAATAAAATGTCAAACTTTATCCAAAACTAACACAGTCTCACTATTTCGGCTATATCTTTTGTTATACAAAATATTTTAATCTGGTTCTAATTGGATTAGAAATTAGACTTCAAAATCTTTCCAACAATATCTTATTTATCTTATTCCTATTTCTGGATCAAAAGATATGATAAAAATAAAAACCGCAAAAACTGCTGTCTATCGCAAGAGTTTTAATCCGATTCGAACTCGATCTTTTCTTGATTCTTCGACCCTCTTTTTTCCCTATAAATAGAGGTCATATCACCCCTTTTTCAATCATCAACATGCTTGATCACAAAATAATTCTCTTCTCCCTCCTTAGCCTAAATACTAGCCACCCTAGTCTCTCAAAATACTTCCCTTAAGCACTTCAAGGAGTCCATACAATACCCGAAGTTCTATACTTAAACCAAGGCGAGAAAGGTATAATTAACTGAGGGTTTGGACCAAATTCAATCTACATTTATTTAATTTAATTTTTATTTGATTTATATTTTTATTGAAGTTACTAACAATTTATTCATGATGTAGCAATTCAAGGAAACACGGAAAGTGAGTAATTAATCACTTAATTACTCTTATTTTTATTCTTATTTCTAGCATCATGATTAGGTTATTATTATTATTTGATTTGACTAACGTTATTATTGTTAAATTGCTTCCAATATTAATGTTTATTCTATTATTTTTATGATCACCACGTTGCATATTAAAGGGAATATATAATTGAAAATCAGGCCTAATAAGATAATGTGGACAACCGGTTTAGGATCCTTTTTAATCTTGTTGTTTAATCAAGTGATCACGATATTTTAGAATTATGTGTTGCATTAATATTAAACCAATTTAGCTTAATAATAGTTTGGAGCAAATTGAATCTCTGTTTGTATGCCTTTGAGATCGCAGGAATCGCTTTTCACTATAAGAATCGAGTAGAGGCCAATACGGGCGAATGTGACTCCATGACTCACTTCGTACCATCATCCCCGATCCTCCTTTCGTGGTTCCGAACCATATGGAGTTAGTAATCTCATGGATTATGAATGGGGTGTAACCTTCACGGGTCAATCGTTGTTGCCTTCGTTGTCCCTTATTCGTGGTTGCCTTTTTATGATCCGTGAACGGTTTACAAGTTCCTTAAAAACTTGTTGGCGGCTCCCTACTTTCCTTTTCCCTAATCGTATTATGTCAATTCCCACTTCCTATGAGTGCCAAGCATATTCACACATGCTTTAACGTAGACGCACTTCGAACGACGCCTACAATTTGGCGACTCCACTGGGGAGGATTCTTGGTTATTTATCGATTTGAGTGATCGGTATTTAATTGAGATGAGTGGATGAGACTTGAAAGATTCTTGAATTGTATTCCTGCGATTTAATTGGCATTGTCACATATGCATATGCAATTTTAGGTCACCTATTTTGCCACAATAGTACATGTTCTACGTATGTGGCTAGCCTGGGGGATTTAAGCTCTATCAACCCGAAAACGCTCATGGCAATAAGGGTTCATCCGAGTTTTTAAA